GCCATTTCTTCTTCTTCCTATTATACCTTTCTCTTCTCCATAACCAGTGCCTCTGATTTACAGATTGGACAAACGTTCTTCACAATCAGCCATTTCTCCAAGCATTCCGCATGATACTCGTGCCCGCAATCTAAAGTCGCAATCTTTTCTTCGTTCTTGAAGCTTTCCTGTAAAAGAGTAGAATTTCTTTAGAGCTCTGAATGCAAAGCTTGTGCAGACATTAATAATGCTTTGATCTTTGGCTGTTTTTTTACCTGACATATTGTGCACGGCTCAGTTTCGATATCTTTGGTTCGTGGAGAAGAAGACGGCTCTTTTTCAAGGTTGATTCCTAAACATGTTCTTGTTTTTAGATGATTCTTAACATCTTCCTCTGGCAAACCAGTGTTTACGGTTCCAATTCGCTCGCTCAACGCAAGAAGGTCCTGTTTAAACAGCGGGTTTTCAAATCAGATCAACGAAAAACCTAACCGTGATCACAGATTCTCAAGCTCATGCCAACTCTGATAAATTACATCGGTAAAGAGTTTGGATGGGCTCACCTCGTAAGACATTTCCTCGATGTCCAATCGCATATCTCGATGATGATCAATGTGATTATTTCCAGGACCGCCAAGGAAATCTCCAAACTCCAATAGCGCAACTTCCTACACACGTCGAGAGAAACAGAAATTTTGAGCAACAGTGAAAAGATGGGAAATAAAAAATGAGGCAAGAAAGTTACATCATCAGGCATCACTCTAAGCCGAGGAAGTCCTCCACGGTGTTGTCTAAGAGTTGCTACAGGTACAGAATCATCTCGCTGATGATGCTGGTATATCCGAAACCCGGTTGGCTGAACTGGACCCATGTGACTCGAACCCATCTCTGTACCCGAGGGACCGCTATTCATTGTGTTCTGAGGAACAAAGTTACCAGGAGGAACTCTGTATGAGGTTGAAGAAGCCATGTGAGGGTATAATGTAGCGCTCTGACCTCTCACTCCTTGTACAGGAGGAGGTGCCGGGTGATGATGATGACTATAATAGTGGTCCCTCGGGTTTAACTGAGAAGGATACATGAATGTTGTAGGGTTTCTGCTACTAGACTCTATGGAACCAGCGACAACATTACTACCTATAAGATCATTCAAACACAGATAAATAAGATTACAAAGTTCGAAACTTTAAAAAGAAATCGTGGATTGGTAGGTACCGTGCATGTAAGGCGCGTGGGGCCAAAACGAAGGTGAACCATCAGATCTGCCATGGTGTTGATCATACCATATTGAGCCAGGAGGTGGAAAAGGAGGATGACTTGCATAGTTCCCTTGAATGAAGCCGTTTGGAGCATGAGGAGGAAGAACAGGATTCATCGTAACAGGTCCTGGTCTGTTCCTCGCGCCTCCAAAAGGTGCTACAGTCTCCGGTGTATTGAATGGAGCTGCTAAAGTACTTAAATACTGAGGATTTCCGGGTATTCCTTCGGCGTTCTTTCTTTTATATGTCCCTCTATTGTGATCCATAAAATGAGCATTCCTTTCGTATTCATGATCAGCGCTTACTCCAACTACACCGTGACTACTAGAAGATGGTAACTGACTTGGCGGACCCTGAAATGCCAGATAGGGAACATAGAAATTCGCAGGAGCACGCTGGTGATGATGATGATGGTACTGAGGAAGACCGTAGAACATTGCCGAGTTATCATAAGTTGGGTCTTGAAGAGAATGAGTTTCTAAATTAGGAACGTTTGCAACCATGGCAGGGATATTATTAATCTCCGATTGTTGCGGAAAACTGCCTAAAAGGATGCAAGGTTCTGGTTGAAGAGAAGCTTGAGATAGCTGCTGCTCCATTTCTAAATCGACCGATCTATTTCTTTGTCCCATTTCACTTGCTGCAAAAGCCCTCTGATACATTTTTCGATTCATCAAAAAACATCAGCAACCACAACAAATCAAACTTCTTGTTTCATATC